CCCTCGCCCCCAGAGGGGGAAACAGAACCCAGACCCAAGAGATGTTACCCTTCCCCCCGGGGTGGAGGCAAGCAGACCGTCCCAGGCTCCGCAGCAGCAGGTAGGCCAATCGGACAGCCAACATCTCCTCCCAGCCCCCCCGCCCCGATGGTTAGCAGAAAACGGGGGTGTGTGAAGCTTTGCGACGTTTCCACCGGCCACCCCCGACCAGTGGTTCCCCTTTCATGGCGTCGTCGTGTTTTTGACTCGGTGCATGCCCTCTCTCATCCTGGCGTCCGGGCCTCGGTCAAGCTGGTCAGCGCCAGGTTTGTTTGGCCGGACCTTCGCAAAACGGTGAAAGAATGGGCGGCGGCTTGTATCCCATGCCAACGCTCGAAAATCCACTGGCACACGCAGGCACCCCTCGAACCTTTCCGTGTCCCCGATAGGCATTTCGATCACGTTCATGTGGACCTGGTTGGTCCCTTGCCGCAGTCACAGGGTTTCACGCACCTTTTGACTGTGGTGGACCGCACGACCAGGTGGCCGGAGGCGGTACCCCTGGCGTCCACGACAGCGGTGACGGTGGCCAGAGCATTTTTGCCCCCGTGTTTCGATACCTCTGTGTTGCCTTTTCGCCAAGAGACTCATTCAACTGGCCCACGACGACCAATCGACTTTCCAGGAAATTGTTCATCTAGGAATGCTCAGACCTGGCACCCATAATGTGGTGGTGCACCATCTTGCTGGAAAAACTCAGGGAACGTACCAGCTTCAGTGCACAAAGAGGGAAACACATCATCATGTAGAAATTTCAAATATCCAGTGGCCTTGAGGTTTCCATTGATGAAGAATAGACCCACTGTCGTTGTACCCCATGTACGACACCAAACCATCACTTTTGTTGTTCCAACAGTCTTGGAGGGATCCATCCAATGTGGGTTAGTGTCAGACCAATAGCGGTGGTTTTGTTTGTTAACTTCACCCTGCCTCTCGCCCCATGATAGCTGGGATAGGCTCTAGCGCCCCCCGCGCCCCTGAAAAGGATAAGCGGAAGCGAATGGATGGATGGATGGAACTTCACCATTCACATTCAAGTTTGCCTCATCACTGAACAAAATCTTCTGCGTGAACTGAGGTTCCTGTTCCAATTTTTGTTTTGCCCATTTTGCAAATTCTGTGCGTCGATCTGGGTCATCCTCGTTGAGATGCTGCAGTAGCTGGAGTTTGTAAGGGTGCCATTTGTGAGTAGCTAATATCTGCCGAAGGTTCGACTAATTTCACTCTCCAGTGACATGCGACGAGTGCCACGCTGTGGGCTCTTGCTTTGATCCCCTCCTCACGTGTTAACCCCTTCGACATGTCAATCGCTGTGAACAAAGAAAAACTTGTCAATAACTCATGAAAGAATAAAGTTACGTTGAAACCAAGCACACCATTGTTTTTCTTGTGACATTACCAATAAGTTTGATGTGTCACATGGCCCTCTTCCTATTGAAAAAACAAAAGTTGTATCCAAGATGGCCGACTTCTAAATGACCACCATGGTCACCACCCATCTTGAGGAGTTTGCCCCCTCACATAAACTAATGTGCCACAAACAGGACTTTAATATCACCAACCATTCCCATGTTATTACGGTGTATCCATATAAATGGTCCACCCTGTACATAATGGAGTACAAAGCTATAGGTTGTTGAGTTCATAGTATTTGGATGTTGGCAAAAACATCCTCCTAGCTGTTCTGATATTTATAATTTATTTTAGTTTGGCCATTGAATATTTCCTAAAAAAAGAAGTAATATTTGAAAAAAAATCACCCGAATAGAAGATAAAAGTCTACATTCAAATCATGTGTTGATTGCTTCGCACCAAATCTGCTTTGGTGGTGTGCAGAAGCAAATTCAGAATTATGTCAGAGCCCAAATACCTGCGGACCTGAATGTGGAGATGATGATTTCATGTTGGTAAAACCTCATTTTCTTCCAGTGTGAATGCTCAGTTTTCTCTGCACTGCAGATCTCGTTTTTGCTCCCACCCACTGATGAGGACTAAGCCTGAGGAGGGTATGGTAGACAAAATAGAACGGTGTGTACAGACTGAGCAGGAGGAGTTGCTGCTGTCGCGATCAGTTTCCCTCCCCTGAACGCTGACGCATATGTCTGATGGAGCACTTCATCATAACCAGAAGCTGTTATTGCTGAGTACTGAAGTTTAGTTCAATGAATCTGTGAAAATTGACTGACCAAATGGAAAACTTTGGATACAATGTATCCACTGGAGGGGCTGCTTTCTGATGATTTAGCCTCTGTAACTAGTGATATCTTAATCATCAGTAACTGGGCCAGTTATTCTGTATTCTGGTCATTGCAGACAAATATGAACACAACAATTACTGACAACACAGTGTGTTCATTTTGTTCTCAACACAGATAATTTAAATAGCTACAGCCAAAGCCCATTCAAACCTTCTTCTGTCCAACTACTTGAACTGCATAAAGACTAAAAACAGAAAACAAACCTTCTATCATCATCATCATCATCATCATCATCATCATCATCATCCCATCATAGTTTAAAAAACTGAAAATATCCATTGAGGAGAATGGGCAGTCTGCTTTGAGTTGACATAAAAGCAACAGTAACTCAAATAACTACTAGGCTGAATGCTCATCGCTCTTCTTCAACATTGCTAATTTGGCAGCATTATACCTGCTGCTTGTGTTAGATTTGTGCCTCACTGCTACACCATTTATTGAAATTGGCACAGGTGCTCTATCCTGCAGGCATGTTTGGTCCCTCTAAGCCAGGAGGATGGCCATGACAGATGTCCACTGTGTCTTGGCATTGAATATCTCAGGCAGGCTCTGACAGATGATGTTTGCATCAACTCCAGCTGTATGCCATTAACTGAGAGGACCACGAGGCTGGCCTGGTTTGACAATACTTTACTGAGGCTGACTTGCCTTTTTCAGGGGTGTCTGCATGTAGCTCCCCTTTACCTACTCAACACCACAAGCTTGCTCAAGGCCATGCTGCTACTGAAAATATCTCGAGATGAAGCCCTCAGTCCCAATAAGCATTACTTGCAGCCACAGGTTAGAATCCCTGATAATCTCCTTACCACAAGTTATACTATAGCGACTTACATGGGGCATATTGGGAACTCTTCTTCCCATGTGGTTTCAGCTCTGTCCCAGACTCTCCACGCTGCTGTGGCTGATGTCTTGACAGTGGTACCACAAAGCTCAAATCACCTAATCCTGGTTTCTAGAACATGACAGTGTACTGAAATGGCCTCCACAGTCACCAGATCACATTACAAGAGAGCACGTTGATGTGGTGGAACAGGAGATTCAATGAGCAACCATCAAATCTACAGCAACTGTTTGATGCTGTCACGTCACATGGATCAAAATCTCAGATGAATGGTTTCAGCAGCTTGTTGAATCTGTCCCATGTGGTGTACCTAATAAAGTGGCTAGAGTGTGTTCATAAAGACTGTTGGTTTAAGAAGATGTAGCCATAAGAGGGGGTGAGCATTGTGTGGACATGTCATTTTACACATATTGTAATGACAGTATAGAGCAAAACATCAAATTCTTCCTGGCCAAGTGCTTCATTCCAATGAAGATTCCTTCATTTCTTTACTTTCACACAACAGCTGAACAAAAGCTTCATGCATACAGTA